GCGCCGTTTCATAGGCGCGCTTAAATTAATTATGAAAAGTCACGGCTGGAAGAACCGTACTTAAAACACACACGTGCTTGATGATAACGAGAACCATACCGGGTATAATTTAAGCCAGGATTTAAAAGGGCGGAGCACTGCCTCAAAAAGTCAACTTAAAGTACAAAGAAGACTTACAAGAGGAGGGGCGAGTCATGCTCAGGCGGAGTCCAGTCACAAAGCCAGTCTGGAAATGAGGGACTGGTTGGCTGCAGTGGTCGTTAAGGCGGCACTACACAAGTGTATTGTGTGGGCGGAACCACACAAGTGTGCTGTGTGGGCGGCACTACACAGGTGTTTTGTGTCCGAGTGTGTAAAGCAAGCATTAAGCAACGCCTGGAACAGCTTGTCAGTGCAATCCATTTAGCCGTGGATGTTACACGCGCGCCATATAGCCTTATTATACCACGTGACAGGCTATTTAGCCTCGAGTCTAAGTGTTAAGGAGACCACGTGACAGGCTACTTAGCCTAAAGCTTTGTGTTATATAGGAACCACGTGACAGGCTATTTAGCCTCAAGTCTAAGTGATATAGAGATCACGTGCCAGGCTATTTAGCCTCAAGTGTACTTATTATAGGAACCACGTGACATGCTATTTAGCCTCAAGTCTGAGTGTTATAGAGATCACGTGACAGGCTATTTAGCCTAAAGCTTTGTGTTATATAGGAACCACGTGACAGGCTATTTAGCATAAAGTCTAAGTGTTAATGCGACCACGTGACAGGCTATTTAGCCTCAAGCTTCGTGTCATATTTGGACCCAGTGACAGGTCATATCTAGCCTTAATCTTTGTGCTATATATAGGAACCATGTGACAGGCTATTTGCGGCTAACCTTTGTTTGTTTTTTTAGAACAAAACTTGTGTCGGGATAATACATGTATTGGAATAATGATTAAGTGTGGGAATGCTACTTTAATACTTGATTCTGTCAGAATTGGATTCGTGTCTGGATTTTGCCTATATACGAGGATTCCGTGCAAGTAATAGTGCAAGGAACGAGTTAATGCAATGAATGAGAGTCAATACAATAGATGCAAAAATACAATGATTGAGTCAATACTATGATCGCAGCAATACTATGATTGAGTGAGTGCAATGATTAATTTCGATTGATTATTAAGTCAATAAAATTATTGTGTCAATACAATGATTGATTGAATGCAATGATTGCTTCCGTTTAATGATTGGGTCAGTACAAGGATCGTGTCAATTCTGTGTTAGTGTTAGGTTCCAGCTTCGTCACGCCAATGTTTGAGTCAAGTATCATGTGTATTTATTGTGTTAATTTTCAGAGTTTGTGCCAGAGTCGTGTTACTGATTATGCAAAATGATCTTACTAAAACTTTGCGCAAGCACGATTTTAGCACATGTCACTGAAAGTTCTATCAAACGCTTATGGCTGCATCGATCTGTTTGATTTTTAGTGGAGAAATGGAGAAAAACATAGGAAACAAATCCTGCCCTTGCAAATTTTTTTAGCTCTATTACTTTTCGAGTTACAGCCATTCAAAGTTGGGTATCGTTTTTTGGGACACCCTGCGTATGCTTATCCCAGTGATCTTATTGTCTTTGTATCCTTGGTATCCTAGTATCCTTAGTAACCTAGTAATTTGTGTATCCTTAGGGACATTCCATAACAAGTGTACCAGGGGTCCCCACATAATTTTCACGTACGTTAGTTCATATTTCATATAAATTTTTCCAAATTTTCAACTCAAAATATGATAAAATATTGAAATTGGGGAACCCACATATAATGTGGGTTAGGGAAAATGCCCCGATACCGCGGCGCAAAATCGCTAACTTGAGATCACTGCTGTGGCGTGTCTATGATAGCCGTGATTTGAAAATAAAGGTGTCCATAGAACTGGAGCAGTTGCTAACAAATTTCTCTTAATGGTTTATTCCTTATACTTACCGTATAGAATACAAGGTTAAACTTGCTCGAAAACTCAAAAGGCAAAAACAATTTCATAAGTTCAGTGCCCTGTACATTGTAGAAAAATTTATAGCTCACCTTGACATAGGAGCTATTTTTTAACAATGTTATACAGCCAGACAATGATATCAATCTACATATATATTCAAATTAATTCAAATTGTGGCGATGAATGACATTTTCAGCGCCGATTACTAAATTTAAATTGCCACAGACATCGTGAAAATAATTGATCGGTTTGATTGAAGTCTTGGAAGGCAAATTGAGGTTGCAATAAATAGAGGTGCGCTTGACAAAAAAATTCTTATAGGTGTTTGCATGCTGTCTCCGTCGCTGCATAAAGACATAAGCAATGATGTTCACTAATCGAAATATTAAAACCCCTAAAGTATTATTTATCAGGTTAAAAATATGAATTAATTGAATACTAATTTATGAGTGAAAGAATTGACGAACCTAAAATTTGGAAGCGTCTCTGTGGCAAAATTATTATTAGTTTTCAAATAGGATGTTGTCACCACGCTCTTTATAATGAATTTGTATATTCAAATGAATAATAACTGATGTGACTATATAATTTATCTGGTAATTTTTCTAGATTACAGTAAAAAGCAATTACAGAGCACATATATAATAAGGAATAAGTAGCAACATTCACACAAAAGCCAAACCGGGAAAGAGCGAATGAGAAGAAATATTAGAACTTGAGGAACTCGTGCTGCTGCGTCGGCTGAACTTGAATGACTCTTCATATAAAGCACGTCCATGAATTAATAATTAAGATTTGCTATAATGCTAGTTCGAGAGATCGATGATTACTGAATGAAGTTCATGTGACGAGATTGGCAAAATGAATGATTATTTTAGAATGAATTAACCCTAGCAAAGTTAAGTGACTACTGAAACAATGAAACTGAATACAACGACCTGAAAACAGCAAGAACGAAAAAACTAAAAGGACCAATTAAAAATTACGATGAACGACATTATATATTAATGGTTGGAAAAGTTTCCGCACATCCACCAATGAATTAAAATGATGAGTCAACCGCAACATTTTAAACACCAAGTATACTCCATTTTCAAGAAGCACCCATGGAGCATTTTCTCTCTCTAATGAATGATGTTTCAGCAAAATAGGTTTAGGTAAACTTAATCAGTTTGGTGTTAAAATAGTGTTGCAAAATGACTCCTAGCTTTCTATGAGCATATATATATGTAATTCTGGCTAAAAAATCAAAATTAATTATCTGATAATATTATGTGTTTACAATGTTACTTACGTTGGCCATGGATTGTTTAAGTATTAAGAAGACTGATACATTTATCTTTGATTTTCCGGAGCACAGAACTTTGGAATTTTTGTTGTCTTTTTTATTTCATTCTACACAAGAATTATCAACAATGAACTAATAAGAGTAATTTTTTAGAAACGCCGTTACAACTTCTACAGGCACTTTCATTTTCAAATCAATGGCTAGTGATTTGAAATTGGAGATTTCAAATCTCTAGCCCATCGCAAATTTTGAAATTGGAGATTAGTTGGAGATTTTGCGATCGTTGTCATTTTCATCACCCTTCTTTCAAGGACCCCTAATTTCAATGGTTTTTCATATTTTGTTCTGAAATTTTTGCATAGTTTGCGTGAAATATGATTGAACTTATATGTAAATTTCACCAAAATTGGTGAAGATCAGGTGGGGCGGATTTTCAAAATTAGTACACTTGACATGGAATGACCTCTTAGTATCATAGTATCCTTTGTATCCTAGTACCCATACTTTACTTATTATCCTATTATCCTTAGTATCGTTAGCATCATACTATCCCTACTTATTAGTATCCTGATATCTTTAGCATTTTTCGGGACGTAGCAGGCCCAGACCACGCTGTAGGCACCTATGTATATAGTCACAGATGCGGCTATCATTCCATTGCTTTGTAATGCTTATATATAAGAACTCGTCAGAAGCATGCCGTCACCGCACGGCAAAGAAGTATCGTTGATCAATCATGAATATCGGAAAAAACTCTATCTATCAAAACTACTGTATTGATATTAATATTCATAGAAATCGATGTTATATTACCTAATATGAACGCTATACCGCTATATCAACCAGGGTTGCCACATGGCCCAAAAACGGCCAAATCCGCGGACAAAAAAGGGCTATAACTGAATATGTACTAGCATATTTGTAGGTTCCGGTGTAAAAACGCCATGTTAATTTTTTAGCACTCTTTAAAATTCAATAAGGAAGTACCGCCATCATAAATTTTAGCCGGTCAACGCGATTGAAATTACTTAATTGGGGGATTTTTTGGGGAAAAAAGACCATCTTCCATCCCTGATATCAACACTGTGCAGCTACATCAAAACTATACAGGTATCTGAATGTCTTTTTTTAACATACTAGCAGGGAAACCAGGCGTCGTCTGGATTCAAGAATTTCTGCGATGCTGGAACCCCGTTATCCGGAATACAGTCATTCCTGTTGTTCCAAATATCTTCATTAGGAATACATTTACGTTGGATAATCAAATTAAGTCCTTTTTAACTTAACATTATACTCAGAAAATGAAACATACATTTATTTCCCGTTTGAAAACCTGAAAAAAAACATTTGGCATCCTTTAAATCTTCTATGTATACATGTTGAAGTTTTCGTATTGTGCGCCTGTCACCGCAACTCATGGACGCTGCTGGGCGCGTATACAAGATACTTATCGTGTCGGGATATTGTATATAGGGGCAATCCAGGATACTTATCGTGTCGGGATATTGTATATAGGCGCTTTTGGGGCGCGTATCCAGGATACTTATCGTGTCGCGAAATTGAGTATCCTATAATTAGGTGCATAAATTATATTAGAATTAACAAAAGATATTGATAGTAGAGGTATTGTGCATGGGATTTTGGTGGACTTTTTTACACAAATTATGAAGCCATACTAAATAAGAATTTGTTTAATACTAAATAAATATATATTTACCCTGATATTTTTCCAACAGCAGCGAGCGTGGCTCTGGCAGGGATGCGTTCAGGCAGCGACTGGTGGATGACAGGTGAAGGTAGGGTGAATAATCTGGCAGCGAGTGGTGGATGACGAGTGAATGTAGGGTGATTAGTTTGGTGGCGAGTAGTGGATGGCAGGTGAATGTAGGGTGAATTATCTGGCAGCGAGTGGTGGATGACAGGTGAAGGTAGGGTGAATAATCTGGCAGCGAGTGGTGGATGACAGGTGAATGTAGGGTGAATAATCTGGCAGCGAGTGGTGGATGACAGGTGAAGGTAGGGTGAATAATCTGGCAGCGAGTGGTGGATGAAAGGTGAATGTAGGGTGAATAATCTGGCAGCGAGTGGTGGATGACAGGTGAATGTAGGGTGAATAATCTGGCAGCGAGTGGTGGATGACAAGTGAAGGTTGGGTGAATAGCGTGGCTTCGCATTCTATCTTGAAGTTCTCCGTAATAAATATGAAATCAATATCAATATATACATATACTTTAAATATATACTTTAAGTAACTTTAACTTTATATATTTACTTTAAATATCAAAATATACCTTATAGATTTTCTAAGTGTAAATCCGAGCAAACCTAGGATTATGATTAACATTTTGGCATCTTGATTTTACTGTTACTTCTCTTTTTCCTTCATCATTATCATCTCATTTTTCCTTTTTAAATTCATGAGCAAGTCAAAGCCTGCATTAAACTGTAGCGCCTACCGCCGGCCGTACATAACGTGCCTATATAACATGCATACGAGAACAGCAACTTCTTTAACGGACTTCTCTCGGACACCGTTAAATTCACTAGGAGATTTACCCCGGAATATTTATTATTCTCAATGTATCCCTCATCTGATTCTTCTTGCCCTCCCATATATCGTCTTCTGTCAAAACAGACGTGACTTGCGATGACGGTCAGGATTACAGATTAGTACTCTCCTCGCTCTAGATTTAAAGATTTGGCTGGCTATAATAAAACCTCTATAGTTTCCTTGTCACTCCATATTGTGTGATATGGATAACAGTAAAAATAATTCAAGGCTTCCCTGTCACTCCATATTATACAATATGGCTAACCATAATAAAACTCCAAGACTTCGTTTTAATCCCGAAAAGTGTGGATATATTCATCCAAGTCGGGCCGGATTTCCCGGTGTGTTAATTAGCGAGACCGGCAATCAAGGCGCGATCTCCAAGGCGGGCGCCGCTCGGGAATTAGAGTCCAGCTCGAGTTTTATTGAGAGCCTTGCTGTTTATGAGAGCCGGACTTAAGGAGCGCTCGCTTGGCTCTCTAAACGCTGCTTTTGTACACGCTTTAAAATGACATTTTTGTTGTCTGATATTTAAATTCTTAAGCGACTTTAAAATGTCATGGAAAAATATGACTCGGGATTTGAGCGTCTCAAAATATTGTTCCATTTGACATATGAAGATTTGTTAGAGTTTTATTGAGGGCCTGCCTATTTATTAAGACGGTGATGGGGCCGTGCAGTTAGTGACGCTGAACTAGTGCCATTGACTTTATGAAGGCTTCTTTGAAACGTGGCACTAGTGGCATGGAGTTTATGAAGGCATCTTTAAAACATGCCACTAGTGGCATGGAGTTTATGAAGGCTTCCTTGAAACATGCCACTAGTGGCATGGAGTTTATGAAGGCATCTTTAAAACATGCATCTAGTGGCATGGAGTTTATGAAGGCTTCTTTAAAACATGCCACTAGTGGCATGGAGTTTATGAAGGCTTCCTTGAAACATGCCTCTAGTGGCATGGTGTTTATGAAGGCTTCTTTAAAATATACCACTAGTGGCATGGAGTTTATGAAGGCTTATTTAAAACATGCCACTAGTGGCATGAAGTTTAGGAAGGCATCTTTAAAACATGCATCTAGTGGCATGGAGTTTATGAAGGCTTCTTTAAAATATACCACTAGTGGCATGGAGTTTATGAAGGCTTCTTGAAAACATGCAACCAGCGACATGGAGTAAATGAAACTTCTTTTAGCATGTTAATAATGGCATGGGTTTCAAAAGGCTTTTCAAAAACATGACCTTAAGTGTCATGGTCTTTATTATAGCCTCTTTAAAACATGTCACTAATGGCATGGCAAGTAAAGTACTATGTTCAACGTAATCTAAAACCCAATGCCGCTTTTAGTTTCTAGATGCTTCATACAAACTAATTATCGTGAAGAGTATGTTTTAAAATAATGAATAAAATTAAATTACCACTTGTAACTCTTATTATTTTGATATGATTTTTAAAGAAGTGGACGAAATGGTATAATGCATATTCTGGAATAAACTTATATGTGAGACACGAATCTCTGGCCTTTACGTGGTGTTAGTTGAAGAATATATGAGATATGATGTATAATATAATATCTGTATGCTCATTTTGGTCATTAATTTATGATAACAACGATGAGCATTATGAATGATGAGTAGAAAATTTAAATGTTATTGTAAGACATTTTAATAGATAAATAATTGCACAAAGCTTTGCAATAATCTTACGCTGTATAATTATAATGAAAATAGATTATGTTTTCATTAAAATATTTGATAACAGTATTACTAAGAAAGCGATTGGGAAATGATAATCCCTATGATATTGTAACTTCAAGCTGCGTTGCAGCATCGCTCTATGTATATATAAGACAGCATCAATATAAGATGGTGTAAGATAATATGTTGTTAGCGTTAGAGATAAGACAACATCAATATAAAGAAGTGTGAAAGAATATATTGTCAGCGTTAAGATAAGGCAGCATCAAAATTAGATAGTGTGAGATAATATAATGTTAGCGTTATGATAAGATAATGTCACTATAATTTAGCACTAAAATAAGATATCGCAAAGTCAAGATAGTATCAAAATTAGATAGTTTTAGGAAAAACCCAGAAAGATACAGTAAGATAGAGGATAAGATAAGATAGTGCCATGACAGCCAGATTGTTGTAAAAAGCATGTCCAGGCAGCTCCTGCTCTATCTTAGGAATTAATTATGCTCTAAAGATAAAATTAGTGCATGAATACCAAGTTTTAATTTAGTTCGCATTAATAAATTAATAAATTACATTAATTCATTGAATTCGAAACTAATTATATGTATAATGAGCTATTCATACGCAACAGATGACTGACTAATTATAAAGCCTCATTAATTTTATCTTCTCAATTGAATTAGAGAAATTATACAAAAGATAGCAAAATATACATATGAGCTAACTTAAGATTCAAATAGGTATATGACTTTAATCAGCCTCACAAGAATGAGCTTCTAATGGTTTTATGACAGCAACTATTTAGAGAGGGAACCACGTTAACATACGAGTATATTCCTTCAAAGAGATGAGTATTAAAAATTTTCAAAACTGAAAATTATCACCCATTTCTTTAATCCATTAATTTTTACCCCTTCCAATCACAGGAATTATACTCGGAATTATTTTGTAATTAATTTATCTGTGAAGCAATTGTCATCATTTGCAGTTATTATTAAAGGCTTTTAACAAATTTTCTTTTCAACAGACAAACCTGACTTGGACGGCGTACGAGTTAACGGCAAAGGCAAGAAGATGCGTAAGCCGCGCACCATATATTCAAGTCTTCAACTTCAACATCTTAATAAAATATTTCAACGCACCCAGTACCTCTCCCTGCCTGAGCGAGCTGAACTCGCCGCTTCGCTTGGTCTAACTCAAACCCAAGTAAGTTTGTAACACAGAATTTTAATGCAGACAAAAATTGCCTGAGTCTGGTAATCTCGTTCCACGTGCGAATTTACGCAAATTTTTGAACCACGTTTACTAAACTTTAAATCAATGTTACAGCGAGACAATGCGATCACGAGTAAATTAATTCTAAAATATTCGAATTTGTTTGCATAAAACGTTTAGTCTAACTTAATTGAGCGCAGAAGCCTGTAAAAAATACGTATTCATCCCAAATAGACTATATTATTATAAAAAAAGCAGGTTAGCGCGGAGTTCCACGGACTGCATTATCTACGCAATTGGAGAATAACTTTGTCCCGAATCTGGTATCCCGAATACCGTTGATAAGTTTGAAATTACAGTACTATAATTTAGCAGAACCATCCGCAATCAACACAATACAATTATATCAAACTCAACAATTAACCCACTCAAGTCATGGTTTTAAATTTAACGGAAAGCTGAACGTTTTAGTTTTGTTAGTAAAACTTGCATTTTCCGGAATAAAAATCTCTTTCCGAGTTTTAAATTTACATCCATATATTTTAATGTCTCATAATTTGCCTACTAAATGAAAAGACAAGAAAAGTATCCTAAATACGCGCCCAAACAGCCCCTATATACAATATCCCGACACGAAATGTATCCTGGATACGCGCTCCAACAGCCCCTATATACAATATCCCGACACGATATGTATCCTGGATACGGGCCCCAACAGCCCCTATATACAATATCCCGACACGATATGTATCCTGGATACGCGCCCCAACAGCCCCTATATATACAATATCCCGGCACGATAAGTATCCTGGATACGCGCTCCAACAGCTCCTATATACAATATCCCGACACGATAAGTATCCTGGATACGCGCCTCAACAGCCCCTGTATATTGCGGCGATAAGCGCACAACACCTGTACTTGGACAAATGAATGTATTTGAAATTCAGGCATTTATATAAATATATATTAGGGATATATTTATTTTAAATACATTTTCCTAAATTTGTTTGCCTGATGTGCGCCTTGCGATGAAATAAATAGGTGCCTTTAGAGCGCGTATCCAGGATACTTATCTTGTTGGGATATTGCCTGCAGCACTCGACTTTTATAAATGGAATCATTTGACATAAAAATTAGAAACGGAAGAGATGGATTCAAATTAATCTGTGATTTTAATTTCATGAAGTGTAAATTTAATTTAAGAATAACTTAAAGCTCCCGCCAAACTTCAAAACTCGAGTTAAATTGATGTTGGAAATTCATTTTAATATGCTCTGAATGGATTTTTATTTGCGATGACCACAGCCTTAGTTTCCTAATTATCAACTGAATTAGGTGCAACGAAACCAGTAAATTCTAAGGGTTCTTTCTTTATTCCGCACAACGTTGTGTCACATTGTTGCTCGATATAATGTATGATATAATATAATGTACGGTGTTTCAGTATAAATTTTAGTTCTATATGCGCTATGGACTCCAAAAATACTTGACTCTGCTTTCAGTTTCGTCGCATCAGTTTAATTTAGTTTAGATTAATTAAAATCTCCATGACGTAACTTCACCGCCCTAATAATCATGCATTTTTTATGTACGAGTATCGCAAACGTTTTTTGGCTGCCAATAAAATATCTCAAAAATATAATTTGAACAAAAATTTGCTATAAAAATGTAATAAAAAATTAAAAAGTTTTAAATAGCTGATAATCATCACTATATCAGAAATGATGAAATATTCATAAACGATTTTCCTTTGATTTTATCGAATAATTTAAGGGTTCGGATTCAATAGATTCTTATGATAGGCTTTTAATGAAGCTGCTTCAATAATTAGAGCTCAATTTCGTACCTGCTTTTTGCACATTTCATTAAATTGCATCACATGACACCTGTAGCCATGCTCCTGATCTCAGGCGCCTAACTAGCACGCCTAGCTAGCAGTGTTATGCACCCCTAACTAGCATGCATAACTAGCAGCGTTACGCACGCCTAACTAGCAGCGTTAGCAAAAGATAACGAACTTGTCACAAATTCCCAATTCTTTTCAATATCCCGTACCCTACAATCAGTTTAAATTGCACGGCGCACAGAAATATGAATGCAAAGGAGAACAGCGTACAATAATCAGATGATGACACACTTGAAATAAAGCAGGGAGGTGATCACAGTTCACGCTAATTACCTTCTGGCTGAATCAATGAAGTAACTGAGGGTGTTAATCATTGTGAATCTAGCATGTTATTTTTTACTATGAATCTATCATTCAATTTTTTCTCTGTAAATTTAATATTAGTTTTATTGTATTGCGAGTATAATTTTGGACTTCTAATCTTCAATTATGCCTTGAAATTGTGCATCTAAGGTTAAGCCTTATAAATGTATTTAGCTTTGAATTTATTTTCTGTTACCATAACATAAAACCTCTTAACATGAAACTCGAAAAGAATACATGAAAGCTCGATGATTGTAAAGAATTATTGAAAATAATAATAATTTTTTTCAATGAAGTTTATATGTGAATATTTCAAAGGAATATTGTATAAAAATCTTTTATATGAATATTTTATCGTAGTTTTGTCTGGGACTATTGTAATGAAATATTTCGTAGGCACATTATGTAGATATTTTATATTGGCCTAGTATAATAATTGAACACTTTGTTGTAAATTGTACAGAAATGAGTTGCACTGCAATAATTAATCAGTCAGGCAAAAGTTAATCCTAATAGCCACTTTTATTAAAGCAATGACTGCAAAAACTAAACGTCTTCAAAAATAATTATTTTAATTGAATCTGATTATTCAAGTATTATAATTTAAAGGCAGCATTTCATAGACTTTTAATTAGGAAAGTCCATGATAGTTCATTTACTTGCTAACTTTAGAACACCTGTTGCTCCGTGGTGTGGACACCTGTGGACAGATTGCAGGTCCGTCCTCAGCCACTTAATGACCTGCGAGATAACCTGTACTGTTTTAACCTGCTAAAAAGTTCTAATAGTTTCGTCATGTTAAAGAATTTTTTGATTGAATTTTTATTATATCCTGGCAGGCTAGCTGATCAAGAAAAGCTGATCAAGAATGACTTCAACTTTAAATCCAGAAATAATCAATTCAATGCAAATTTGCAATTATAAATAGTTGCAGGTTATATTTGAATAGCAAGTAAATGATTGCTAATTAGCCAACTAATTGATCATAAAATGGATCAATTGATGATCCTAAACTGATCAGCGCTCAATTGATGTTCGGATTTATTTTCAAGAACAAGACCACAATCAAATTTCTTCACCATAACTCTTTATATAGACGTTGCAACTTTCTAGAATGCAGCCATAATTAACATGTACATGAATCACGCCTAATAAAGCTTTAGGTAAATCTAACAAAGCTCACGAACCTGAGCTGAAATTGCGTCCAAAGTTGTGATTCATGGAGCAACTTTAGCAGCAAAAGTTTGGGGAGCAACTTTTGGAAGTTGAGAATCGCGCTAATTTGCTCCTTTCAAAAGTTGGGCGACGAGTTGAGTTGCAGCGAACGAAATATTGTCGCACGTTTTTATAACGTAATATTATAGCTGGAGTTTATAACGTAATATTATAGCTGGACTTTATAACGTAGTATTATAGCTGGAGTTTATAACGTAATATTATAGCTGGACTTTATAACGTAATATTATAGCTGGAGTTTATAACGCAATATTATAGCTGGACTTTATAACGTAATATTATAGCTGGAGTTTATAACGTAATATTATAGCTGGACTTTATAACGTAATATTATAGCTGGAGTATATAACGCAATATTACAGTCGGAGTTTATAACGCAATATTATAGCTGGAGTTTATAACGCAATATTACAGTCGGAGTTTATAACGCAATATTATACCTGGAATTTATAACGCAATATTCTCGCTGGTTTTTATAACGCAATATTAATGCTGGAGTTTATAACGCAATATAATCTTTTGTTTTTATAACGCCATATTCTCGCTTGTTTTTATAGCGCAATATCATACATATTTTTTTGACAACCAAAATTATTTTCGATCTTAACACGTACGCTAACTTACAATGATTATCGTAGGCTGTTGTCGCAGGTGAAAATTCGACAGATTATGCCGGTTTGGGATTCAAATTGTCCATTTAAAAATAAGATTTTCTTTGTGGGATCAACATGAAACTCGATAAATACGAAGTTAAAACTTGGTAATTATGGAATAAAAGCGAACATGATGTTATTATAGAGTGAAAGCAATCTATGAGCTGATTATAGAGCAAAAGCGAAAATAAAAGTTGTCAATAGGTAAAGCGGTATAAGTAAATATTTTACTAATTTCCGGCATATAGACGGCCGTTTCATGTGTTTTTGGCCCACGATTCATTTGCAATAATATAGTAAATTAACTTTATACTTTTTAGCTCGCTTACTTGTGATAACTGAATAGTTTCAGCCAAAAGGAAAATCTTTTTATTTTTAGACGAAACAAATACCGTACATGCATTCGCTTGAAACAAGATTTTATTGATAGAAAAGACCTATATACATCTTCAAAACTCAGGCTACGGCTTCCCGCCCATGTACCAGAGCAGCTACGGCTACCACATGGGGCACTACGCCCCCTCCCAGTGCCCCTCACCCCCTCGTGATGGTAAGTTAGCGAACACTCAGATAAATTAATGAGATTTTGTCCAAACTGCGATGCACTTTTTGCTCTAGTGTGAGCCATCCTGACCCAGATTAGCCAGGCAAGAAGGGCGTATCAGGGCTACGTCTGCCTTCTGCTGGGGCTGAAATTAAAAAAGTGTGTAATTATTTGGATGACAAAACTTGACTTTTTTCGAGCATACCGTCATTTGCTTATATGCTTATCCTAGTAATCTTAGTTAGTATCCTTGGTATCCTAGAATCCTTAGTAACCTAGTATTTTTTGTATCCTTAGGGTCACTCTATGACAAGTGTACCACGAGGTAACCCCCCTGCCCATCACC